ACATGACAATGCAATGCATCCATTTAGAGAATGTATTTAAAAGTGAGCTCATATTTGTGTCGAGCACATTGTTACTTTTAGGCAACTTTGTTCAAAAAAATTATAATAAATAAAAAAGATAAATCTCTTGAAAATTAAATGAACATTTAAGTGCTCATTCTAATAAGAATTTTCGTTGTAGGGAGACTCCAATGTAAATAAAAACAAAGACAATTTATGTGTGAAATAAACATAATCAGTTGGAACATTTTAAATAATAAAACGTACCTTATTTCCTGTCTCAAAAATGATCTCATTCTTCTTGTAAATGACTTCTAAATAGTATTGAATAAGTTCTCTTTTCTTAACATTGAGGCCTCTTAACAACAATCTCAGACATTATTATTTTACCCAAACACTTTGTCATTATTAAACAAATGGGAGGAAAAAAATATAGCGAACAATTCATATAAAACAAGTATATTTCTTTGGGAAAAGAATTGCAGAAATATTGATGTTTTTCAAAAGAAGCAGTTTAAAATATTTCTAAATATATAGGCATTGGGTGTTTATACATGAATCTTGGTTGTGATTCAGAATTTCAGGCAGTCTTTGAAAAGATAAACACACTATATAATTCCGTTCTGAGACAGGCAATATGTTAAATTATAATATGAATTTTTGGTGAATGGGTATCCAAGCATCTATGAATGAAGCCAAATCAATAAAGAAGATATTTGTGATCTAAGGTTGGGACCTGAAATATGCAAGTAGATAATTTATTTTTACAGTGATCAAAAACTGTTTCAGTTATCCAACTTTTTTGTGAGCCAATTTCAAAATAAAAATGTTGAATAATTCTTGAGAAATAATTTAAAATGACTACTAAGCTTTTTAATCTTTTCTGATAATGTGCACTTTAAATTAAATGACTAGCGGAGTTCAATAAACCTTTTCTCTAGACCTGCGTCACAAGAATTATGGAAATAATTAAGGCTCCAAAGGTGAGCTTTACTTTTGGAACTTGCTGAATGACCAAGTCAATAGAAATAATCAGTGACAGCTGTTATATTAACGATAATGCAGAAGAAACTTTTTTAAAACCACTTTTTTGACTTAACTACTGTGGCCACATTTGATGGGTTAATAGTCAAAATACTAAAAAAGAATAATTAAATTGAAAAATTGTTTAAATAATTTGAGTTATCAAATCATTAAAAAAAATTTTATATTTGAAATTTTATTTCACAGGAATTATTAGATCCATTTAAATCTAATTTTGTATTTTGCCATATAAAATTAAATTAATGCAAGGTATATAAATTTGTGCATTAATTCTTTAAATTAATGCAAAAATTCATATACCTTAAAATTCAATGTTTTTTTTTTGTTGTTATTATTTAAGTAAATAATAATTATTAAAAACTATTTTTTGCATGGAATCATCTTTTGGTAAGCCAATTTTATAATTGTGCACAAATGGGCTTCGTTAGAAAAAGTACATTTCTGTACATAACCTCTCAACTTAATTGTCTTCAGCATATAATCAAGTGGTTCTTACAAACCATAAGCCTGCACTCTTAATGTACTGAATTCGAATTCAGTAAAATTTATTGTTCATATTTGTTATTCTTAGAACGATAAGGAGAATCAGCAGAAATAATGTAAAGATTCTATTAAAGTTTAATCTACTTTTAAAATACCCTCTATTAAAATACTATAACTAAAATTTCAATAAAAATATATTTTTGGAAGCACTATGGCAATGGCAAAGCATGTACTGAAGCACTATTTATCAATAAACTCTACATCTATTCCTTAATCAGACATACACAAAATAATCTTATTTTTAAAAAAACAACAATAGACAAAGTTGCATAGCGAAACAAAAATTAAACACATGTTTCAATACTATTTAGTACATAAAAATATAACAATTGTTTAGCTCACTGATTAGAATGACACTATTTGAACTTTACTAAAAACAGTTATCTTCATTCAACAAAAGTTAAACGAATAAAATTATGATTATTTATAATGCATCAGAACTGTTGTAAGAGTAGGGTAAACGGAGAGAGCTCTGCCATATTTAAATATAATTTTTTTATATACAGGGTATCTGCTCAATTTCAGATTTTCAAATTTATGATTAATTCCAAGAATTTTTCCTGACACAACAGAGTTACTATTTTCTAACGACAAAAGCGCAACTATAAATTAAAAAAAGCATTGTAATACCATAAATTTAAATGATAGGTATAACCAAAACTGTTATACTCTGCATTTTCATATATAGAGATTTTAAATTTAAAAAAACAGAGTAAAGAAAGAATTAAAGTTAAAAGTATACAAAAGCAAAAAAAAAAAAAAATGTACACAGAATTATATTCCAAAGATACTTTTAAAAGATAATTCGCTCTAGAAATGATGTTTTTTCTTTCATTTTTTGAAAGAACACAATAAAAACATTTTATATTTTAATAAAATATGACTGTGAGTGGGGATTTTGTTACAAATTCAGATATTCGGAACACTGTGAAATGGGGGAGGGGATTCAATTTTAAAAATTTGATTTTTTAGCAACCTCAATCCACGACTTTCCATGATTTTTTTTAGAAAAAAATATAGTTAAAATCATGACATTTCATGAAAAATTTTGTTCAGTACTGAAATTCCAAGTGGGCAGATACCCTGTATTTATAAAAATTTCTATTTTTCTTAAAAAAAAAAAAAAAAAAAACTCTTCTTAAGAACTAAATATCAAAAAGCTTTTTTTATTTTTTTTATTTGATAGATGCATGGCAAACTTATTCATGGTTTCCTAAAACAATGATCACCCTATTTCTAGGAGCCTTCCTTGAACAAAAAAAAATTTCACATTAGAGAAATCGAAATCAAAGTTTTCCTATTTCATCCTAATAAAACTTTTTCCTAATTCATTTAAGCCAGGCAAATAATAATTATCCTATAAAAATAATACTCAACATGCTTTTATTATGAAAAATAAAAACATAATCACAATTTTTTTTCATTTAAATTATTTTCATATCTGTAAAGCATCCAATTTCTCAATTGCTTTCAGTAAAATAAAGTAAGGGAAAAACTATAAAAATGTAATATAAAATTTAGAATTTATAAGTTCACTGGATAAGATTAAAATTCCGCTCTAACAAAATGTACGATTGACTAAATATTAAAAGGTTTGACCAAAACAAAGACTAGACATTCAATACAAAAGAAACAGTGTAGTTATTTTTAAAATGACACATTGTTAAAATAGAGAAATTCTATAAAAATATAAAGTAGTTCTACAGACACATATAAATTATCTCCCTAAATAAAAAGTATATGTTTGTTTCTTCCTCTCTCACTAGTTCAATACAAAAAGAACACTTACCCTAGTCTAATTTTATGTATCTCATGCCATTACTTGATCTACTACAAAAAGAGACGCTCATGAAGACTATAAGAACTTAAAAAAGGCAGCATATGAAATATTTAAGGTAAATGGTATGGATCTCTATCAAATTCAATATGAAGTAATTTAATTTGAAATATAGAATTTAAAAAGGCAGCATTTAAAATAATGATATGATTATAGATCTCCTTCAAGTCATTGATAAACCAGGATGGCCACTCAAATCAGGTTTCAAATTTCCCTGATTTTTCCAGTAAAATTCTTAAAATTTCCAGGTCAGCGCGTTCCCCCCCCCCTGCTAAAGTGTAGTATAGGTACATGAAAAGTGTCAATATTAGTGTATTAGTCAATACAGTGTAGTATTTCATTTAAAAATTTATTTTTTTAATATATTATCTTCAATAGATGTGGAGGAAACAATATGTTTAGCTTGCAGAAAATAACGCTTTTAATGAATAAAAAAGTTTTTAAGCGTTAAATAGCTTTTGCACAAAATGTACCAAATAGCAATGACCCAAAACAATCTTGGATAAATACTGTTTAATATATTTTTATTAAGCAAAAGAAAATAATTCCAGGTGATTAGAAACCAATAAATTCTTATAATTATTTACATTTCAGAGCCATTTTATACTGTATTTTATACAAACAGTGCTCTTTATAAAATTCATTGAAATAATTTTCTTTAAACCAATATCATAAGTCAAATGTTTAAATAATGTTGTTTGTTTCAAATTAGCACTATTATTTTAAGTCATATTCAGTATTTGTAAACAAAAAATTTTCAATTTCTTCTTGCATATTCTATAGAGAAAAAAAAAACTAGACACAATTTTTTAACTTTTATTCTTTTTCCCCCCATTTCTTAATGGAAATTAGAATGTATTAAGAATTTCAATCTAACATGGTTTCCTAGTTTAGATAAGTTAATTGGTTTTGCTTTTACACATGGGCAATTCCATGGTGTTGGAAAAAAATGAACATTAATTTCTTAGAAAAACTATCTTACAAAACAAAACTTTTCTGAGAAAAATAATTCATTGGACAAAAGCTATCAGAAAAAGAGTGCAAGATAAAATTTCTAAATTATAACCAATTATTTTTTTTGAGAATTTTATAAAGTTAAAAATACTAAAACATTTTGAATCATTTTGTTAAAAGAAAAAAATACCCCCTCCCCCAAGCAGAGGAACAAACTTCAACAATTAATGAATTCAGCCCACAGAATAAATGAAGACTTAAAAAAAAAAACTTTACTTTTATAAAACAGAAGCAAATATCCTAATCCTTTCTTCCACATTTTTGTCTTTCTTATACTACATAGTCCCATAATCTCCAATGAGGTCAAAGATTTCTCCATTCATTTCCCAACATAAAAGAGTTTGAAATGGCATTTTAGTTTAACTGCGTGATAATGAAGAGAATTTTAATGCAAGAAAAGTATTGCTGAGTTGATGATATTTCAACTTTTTCAAAGTGGATATAACGGATGGTAACATAATTTAAATTAAAAGAAAAATTCCAGCTTTTCTTTGAAATTCTCCGATTTTTCCAGGTTTTCATCCAAATCTCCCTGATTTTTCCAGGTTTTTTCCAGTATAAAAAAAACTCCCTGATAATTCCAGGTGGGTGGCCACCCTGTAAACCAATTATTACTGTTCATTAATACAGTCAAACCCCACTATAGTGAACAAAATGTTGTGCCTTGCTATACACATATAAGAATATTTTTTGTCGATAGAGTGAACCATAAGAAGAGAGGAAATTGGTTATTTTTAACTTTTTTTCTGTCCTCAATTGATTTGTTTTCTTCATTTTTTTTTGGGGGGGGGAGGTAATTTTGAAATTTCTGCAGAAAATACATATATCGGTTTTTTTATCGGAAACTATTGAGTAGGATGTAGCCACAAGAATCTTTTCTTCGTTTGCTTCTCTCTTCTATCGCAGTTTCCCATCTTTAAGTAAAGGCCATCTTTTTATACGCAAAACGAAGAGTAATAAAAAATAAAAGGTAACACATTTTTTGTTACTACATACTGTTTTTAAATCATTTTTGCATTTCTTTTCATGGGTCATTTATTTAAATAATGATGTGTAATAAGAGGGAGGAGTTCAGAAAAATGAGTTAAAATTGTTTGCAGTAGGGATATAGTGAACCAAACAATCTGTTCCTTGAAGGTTCACGATAATGGGGTTTGACTGTTTTATTTCATTTCAATTAGATATAAAACAGATATAAGCCAGATGTTGACAGAGCATTACATACTGCATTCTGAAATTAGTACAAATGATGATAAATAAAATAAAGGTAACTAAAACCTAACAAAATGTAAAAATCAAAAAATTTGGTTGGTTTTAATATATTACAACATATTTCTATCCTATGACGAAAACCAAATATCAATTTCTTAAAGTAATAAATTATGGTAGAGAAAAAGCTAGCATTTATCAGTGTAATTGGATTGCACTCAAAAATTCTACCTGAATCTGATCTCTGAATACATATATGGATGGCTTATCATAAAAGTAATTTTGAATTGAAGTGACACTAAGAAAACATGTCATAAAAATTTGAGACCAATATATTTTATAGTACCATTCAAAAACAACCAGTCAATATTCTCACATACCGAATAAAATTTGATATCGTGTTCATAAAATAATCTTGAAATAGGTTTTTTTTTTGCAAAAGTGATAATGGGTGATTTTTTTTTAATTCACCATTTAAAAATTGTATTATATGATTACTGTATTGTTGATGATAATTTTAAAAACAGATGTAAGAGACAAATCAATAGTTATGAACCATTCAGCAAGATTGGTGAGAAAATATGAGCTAGACTTTTTGAAAATATAAAATTGTTAATCGAATTCAGAAAATGACCTGAAAGTTTCAACAATTAAACCAGGTGAGAAGGCATATAATTAATTAGTCCCTAAGAATTGAGATTTTTAGTAGTGAGAAATCTTTTGATTCTTCAAATGAATTATTCCAAATTTTCTATTCATAGAAAATGGGATGCCTGAAACATAATCAAAACAAAATTTACTTTATCTGGACAACAATGAGTACATTCAATATTCGAATTCATTTTTCTGAATAAATGATAATGTTTTTAAAATAACTTATAGAATAATTTGCTCTCTTACTCTAATCGGCAATTTACAAGCAATAATTAAAATTAATAACTTCTATAAACAATGTATTATTTACAATAAACGTAATAAGAAACATATTTGATAAGAAAAAGGTTAAGAAATAAAATAGCAACTAAATTTCTTTTCATCAAAAAAAAGACTTCAAATTTCGCTTAACTGATCATTTTTGTATTTAATGTGAAAGTGTGCTGAATCTACGTTAAATGTTAATTCAAGGCTTTTTTCATCTAAAATATGTGGTACCCATCTGTTTCAAAACGGCTATTCTTAACCTATTAGTACCGTACCCATATTGCATACGGTAAAACATATCGAGTTGACCACTACAGTAAGCTATAGTTTGTCTAACGTAAGAACTCCCCTCCCCCCACAAACTCTGAGACCGTCTGCTGATATGGAAACAAGAATAGCGCATTTCAGGGAGAGTAGCTTTTCTTCACTGTAGTGATAACACAATAGAAAAAGATTCCCGTTCTCTCATGTCCTAAACAAGGACCCCACACCCCTACTTGAAATAGTTATACCTTATAACCATAGTCACCGCCAAGGTTACAGACAAATGGCATGGGGAGTTCTTACTTTAGACAAACTATATTTACATTGAAATATAATTATTGTTAGATTGGTACTTTTCCATTCTGCCCGTGCAGAGAAGACAAAGTTGCTAATGTAAAGTCACCAAACGCTAGTATATTCAATTGTTTTTAAAATTATTATTTTATATTTATTATCTTTAGGTCACGATTAATATGTTTAAAAATTAAACAGATAAAGTAGCTGAATTCACTTGCGCCGGTGAAATGGAAAAGTACCGTTAAATTATTACATAATAAATATTTAGACTCGCAAACATAAGAACTATATATAAAAATAAAAGTAGTGATGTAAAAAAAAAGAAAAAGTCTCATCTCCCTCTATAAGAAAGCCACTAAAGCGATGCACCACATTTAATCATCTTGCGCAGTCTTGACTGTTAGCAAGGCACAAAACTTGCCAACTGTGATCAAATTTTTAAAACTGGCAAATCTTTTTTTTTAAAAAAACTAGCTATGTAGGCGTTGAAGTGCTTCAATATCAAGCAATGGCCTTTCTCTTCTATTTAAAACAAAAAATGCTGCGCTTAAGAAACCAACACATTTGGAAGTTGTTGAAGACTCTTTGATTTAATACAACATAATATTATATTATTGCAATATAAATATTCAAATGTTTCATAAATGCAAAATGATCTTTAGAACTGAAATTCCTGTATAGTTCGTTCAGCAGAAGTTGGCACTTTTATCAAATTTATGAAATATTTAATGTTAAAAAAATGTACACAAAGATTGTGAAATAATCATTTTTGTCATACGATCGACAAACACGACGAAGGTGGATCCGAGTGCCGACTCCCGGTGAACGAACTATATTTAGGGTACCTGTTAGCAGTTCAAAACAAGACAGTGCTGCCTTTTTAAATGAAGACCTAGTGATGCACTTTGTTGTGTTCTTCCAGGTTGAAAGCGCTAGTGAAGGTCGCTTGGCAGAGGCTGCAGAAGAAGGAATCCTTTTTGGTGTGTTGAATGAGATGAACTTCTACTTCTGAGCGTAGCTCGAAGTCCTCGGAGCAGAGGGGGCAGCGGTTTGAGTCTTTCCCCAAATGTTGCAGAATGTGCCTGCGCATGCTCCCCTTCTGAGAGTAGCATCTCTGGCAGACAGGGCACTTGTGAGGACGCTCGCCCGTGTGGTGAAGCATGTGAAGCTGCACACTTCCCTTCTGAGTGAATCCCTTATTGCAGATGGGACACTTGTAAGGTCTCTCGATGGAATGGGTCAGCATGTGCTGCCTCAGAACTGTGGGCAGAAATGTTGTGTAGGGGCAGAGGTTGCATTTGTATGGATGATGATTGCTGTTGAGTTCTTTGTTGGCTATAAGTTCTTGCTTCAGGCCAGAATAGATGGCTAAAAGATCCCATTCACAAGTTCTGTTGTGAGATTCTCCTGGAAACAAAAGATTTAAACAACTTTGAATTGAGCCACCAAGAACCTATTTGTTGAAGAAATATTCATTTTTAAATAACTGATCAATTCATTTATTTTTGCAACTAAAAAAAAAAATTATGTTTCTAAAGCTTCTTCTCCTTCACTTGAGAAACAAAAAACATTCAACACTTTTTCACAAAATGCCATCTTAAACTTTATAAAATGCATTGAACTATTAAGTTCCCTTAGCTGTATACTATTTCGTACTTAGAAAAGCATTTATGAACATTTTTCAAAATTTAAAAAAGAATCTCACCAAGTTAAACGAATTGAAAAAGAATTTAGTTAAATAGCAAGAACTTACTTGAAAGAACTAATTAAAAAAATAAAATAGCCTTAATATTTATATCCACATGAATGTTTACTCATTATGGTAGCAGAAAGAAACTTGGTTCTTTTATGGATAGCATTCATTTTTTTAAACATATATTTCACACAAAAACTGATACAATATTTAATATATATAAAGATAGGCTAGTTGTATGTGATAGTAAAATTGAACTTATTGACCTGTTGCTTATTAGTATTACAAACTGAGAACTTTTAAAATTGCTGCTATCCAAAAATTCAAAAAGTAACCTCCATTTAAAACTCTTACCACTTTCAGGGGTGACTGAGAGCCTAACTAAAAAATCCTGAAAATTTCTTGAGTAAAATCATTAATGACGCATTTCAAAAAGTTATGTCTTTATAAATTTATCATTGATATTTTCAAGACATGAAATTCTAAATAAATTACACATATAAATGCAGCATAATTTAAATAAATTTACTCTTATTTCTAATCACATTTATTATTCTATCAGAAAAAATATTAACAAATGAAAGACATGCCAAGTATAAATTCTAGTTCTAATATTTTTAAATAAAACATAAAATTTTTTTTTTACATAAATGTGATCTATGATTTCTTGAAACTTTTGGACCTTGAATTTCCAGAAACTTCTGGATCGCAGTTAGAGAAAAATCTGGAAATCAGGATTTTTTCCGGGGCACAATCATCTCTGCACTTTTCACTTAATTTGTACAAATTTTGCAAAAGGTATAAATGTCATTTCTTTTAAAAAAGATCTCATAAAATATACTAGCATTAGTTTTGTTAAACAAAAACTTTCAGAGTAGCTGTAGTTATTAGAATTAACACAATTCAACTTTTCACTAAAATTGTAATGTACTACACTGATCAGTAGAGTCTAGATTTTGACAACCTAAAAACTTCCTTTAAGCTCCTCTTAAAGATAACAACAAAAAAAATACCCTTTTAAAACAAAATATGCCCTTTAAGCTTCGAAAAAAGTTCTTAAAATAAATAAAAAAAGAATTTCTTATAGATTAAAATTTTTGTTCAGAATTCCAATATAACAATCGTGAATGTAGATTCTGTGGATTATACAGGCATAACATGCCAAGTATAATCCACACACAATTATTGTTTTCTTTAGGACTAGTTGCCAGTAACGCATTAAATAATAAAAGTCAATTAAAAGGGGTGAAAGTTGAAAGAATGAGCCAATACTGTTAGGATTTTTAAAAATGTCCTAAAATTATTAAAAAAAATTTATAAATAAATTTGCTTTAAAATTCTCAAATCACAAAAACATGCCTTAAAAGAAACAAAAAAAAAATTTAATATCTCAAAAAATGCTGTAAAAACCTTTAAAAAAAATGCTTTAATTTAGCAAAAGAGTCCATAAGTACAAAGTAATGTAAGTATTGACTATATATAAGAAATAAATAACACTTTCACGGTTAACCACTAATATGTTAATTCAAAGTTGTGAAACATTAAGTAATTTTAAAAAAAAATACACATATTTATGAAAAAGTATATTAAGAGTTAAAACTAAAAGTTACTTTTATAAAATTAGTAATATAGTAAGGCATTTATTGATTAATTCAATAAATCTCAATAATCTAGCTTATAAAAATTTATATTAATTATACAATAAACTATAGTACATATTTCACTATAAATAAGTTTTAATGATAGGAATTTTTAAAAAAAAATACTTTTAAACTACAGTAGAATTCTGATTACACAACACCCAAGAAAATAGAATTGTTACCCATTAACTTGGAGTGCTCAATTAGTTACACTTTTTGATTGTATATATTCTGAGTAACATTATTAAAAGTATATAGCTACTATTATCAATCAAAATAACCTTTTGTAATATCATCATATCTGTTGGGATCAACACAAAAATGTTATTATAAAACAGTTCATATTTTCATTTACAAAACACACATTTCTAATTAAACTGACAAGTTTTATAAAACTTTTACTATGACACAACAAAATGTGATTCACTATCTCTGCTTTTGAATCAAGCAATGAAAACAAGGATGCACAGAGCGTAAAAATAAAACACCCTGAATAACTTTTATTCTAATCTTCACATACTAGAACTCAACCTTAATGGTTTAAAAGGGTACCTCAATTATTAGTATGGACGTTATTTTAAGTTACAAAATCAGACACAAAAACATATTTTTTTTCTGAATAAACATACTTTTTTCTCCCTCTGACAGATTCGATGCCTCCTCAAAACATGGAGGTTAGCTTCAGTCTGAGAAATACTTTTCAGGAGAAAGTTAGTACCTCTTAATCAGGGTTGGCATGTATTTGACACGTGACGGTTTTTACCGGTTTATACCATGGCTTTTACCGTCATGTCAAAAACCCCTCTGTCAAAAACCCATAGTTTTGGTAAAACTGTATTTTTGAGTTTAACTGCTTATAATTTAAAATTAATTCATTTTTGGTCAATAAAATTAGAAAAAAAGTTGTTAAAAGATATTTAAGAACAGATTCTTGCATTTTCCCAACATGATTATATCAAAACATACAATTTGAAGTAAAATATTAGGATACTAAACAAAATTTTCAACATTTCCAAGCATCATTTTGTTTGGCATATTACATTACTGAAGAATGTCAAGTCATTCTTGACTTAGAGTTTGTTAGTAGTTACAAGTTTTGAAAGTTTTGTTTAGCTTATTTCTAATATTTAAGAAATGCCAAATTTTAAATTCTTCTTTTTAGTTCTTGAATTTATTAATAGTTCCAAGCTTTTTTGTTTGTTTGTTTATTTCTAACAATTAAGAAGTGCAAAATTTTGAATCCTTTGCAAATCAAGCTATAATGATAAAAGTAAGTATCACTATTTTCAATAAGTATATCACAATATTTCTATATGAATGTATATCCTTCTATAAGAATACATGTATACAGTTGCAAAATCAATAGCAATCATTTACAACATTCATTTATAAAGGCAATTATGTGAAAATAATATATTGCCTGCTATATGCCATAAATAAAAGAAAACAGTAGATTTTTGACGGTTTTTGCCACTGTCATGTCAAAAACCCAACCCTGCTCTTAATGTTAATTTTATTTTTTGCGTATTTAGACATACCTCCTATTGTATCCACTTCATTACAAAATTTATTTGAAGATGGTATCTCCATGCAAAAAAGAATTTTTCATTATTACATATTTTGTTTAATAATGGTTTTGAATTGTAAGATATGCAAATTTTTAAAAGAATGTAATTTTATATGTTAAGTACAAAATTTTAATGAAATAGGTAAAATAGTTCCTAAAAAAAAGGAATTAAAAAAAAGCCATTTATTTAAAAAAAATTTTTGTTGACATTTACTAAAATATTCTCTGCGCTAATAGCAGGTGAGTTTTTCAAACCATTACGGTAGTATGTGAAAGTCTAATCATTAGATCTGAAGTTATTCAGGGTGCTACGCAATAGGTAAATCTTGATTAAAAAATGGCAAAGAAAATTGGAATACAGATACATCTTCAGGTGTATTTGAATGTAAATCAAGACAGGTAATAGATTAGATTCTTCATTATAATACAAGTCATTAGATCCAAAAACATATAGCAACACAATTAGCAAATATATTAAGTCCGTTTTAATATAGTATTTTAAAAGAAATGCATTCTATGTATACATAATAAATAAGCACAAATAGGACAGTGATTTTCACTAAAATGCAAAAAATATGAAGAAGAGGTTTCAAAATCAAATATTTTCTTCAACTAGAAAATGTTTTTATGGAAATCAATTAAATAGTTTTTTTTTTTTTAAAGTTTCATTCACAAATTGTTATAATTAAAATGTTTATAACAATAAATCAAAACAAATTCATCTAATATAATTTGTAAGATGAAGACAGACATATTACTTGAAAGAAAAGTAATCAATTATTCAACCTGAAAAAAGTCAGTAAAAATATTTAATCAGTAACACATTTATAACCGAATTTCAATGCAAAAATTATTAAAGTTTAAATTGATTTTTATTTAAGGAACCAATAAAAACAAAGAAAATAATTATTATATTCGCGAATACCGATTGTTTCCAGGGAAAGATTCACGATTACTTCCGAATCAAAAGTAAACAGGAATGATTTCATTTCTCTTTTGGTACCTTTCAAATGGTGACAAAACAAACAAAACTTATTCATAGATAAAGCTATAGTTAATACAAAAATTGTAAATCAACATGTCAGATTAACTTTGGACTATAAATATAGACCAAATCACAAGACCGCAAAAGCATACCATCAGAGATAAATTTCTGTGTGATCTGAGATAAATTTTTGAGTCCCAGAAAAATAGTCGACCATTAATTTTGAGCAATGCTAATACTCTATCAAAAAACCATATTCGATTAACCCAAATTTTCAGTTAAACAGTTAAAATTTCTTTCACTAGAAAATTTGAGAAAAAAATTTTAATATCCTTTTTTTATAAGAAAAGAGATTTTTTTTTCTCTAATGACTGAAAAACTTTTTGAATTATGCCTGTAAAGCACAAAAATTAAAACATTAATATTAAAGCTTAGAAGACTTGCGGTAACATTTTGATATGTTTTTCAACTTTTATTTAAAAATTAATATGTTTAATTGCTCTGACCACATTATTTCCAAATTTGACAGTCCTTATTAAAATTATTAGTGGAGTGAAACAGAATTATGAAAAATTAAAACACTGAAATATTAATGAACTGAGGTAGAGTATAAATGTACTAATTCATATAATAGAAATTTAAAAATAAATTAAAACAGTTCAATTTCTTTAATTTGTTTTTAATTGAGACACCTTAAAAAATCTCGAGAATTTAGTTACATAAGAATAATAAGAATTGAAATTTCACTTAACACTATGGTTAGAATTTTATATAAATATAAGATATGACTAATGTAATATTCAATTATTTTGTGCTTCTTAAATGTTGTTTACTTAACACAAAGTCTGTTTATGTTCTTGAGGCGTTGAAGTTCTCGCACGAAGTTTAAACCGGTCATCGAGTTTAACGTTCGTAATATGGCGAAAAATTTTATTAACTGAACTAGATCAAACATGATGGTGTTTTCAGTCTTGGCTATCGAAATGAGTTACAGATGGCGTAAGTCAGTGCCCGTGCAAGCCCGTGCCCCGAAGGAAGTACGTTAGTTTTCATCTTGATTTTGATTGTATGCTTAAAGCTTAAATCAGGTTTTTTTTTGGAATAAAAAGGGAGTAAAAATTTAAAAATAATCAGCCAATTCTTTAACATGTAAGTTTTCGATTTGGAATCTAGTTTCAAAGTTGAAAAAAAGCTTTTTTTTTCTTTCTAAAATTACCAATTTTATTTGACTTTATTTTCGCAAATGTCTAAATTTAAGAAACGGTGAAGCATATTTCCACTCCCTAACTTCAATTTTTTAAAAATTAGTTTTATAACCGTCGATGAACAACCGACCCTTGCCTCGTATTCAGAGAAAACTTTGTCTTATCATGGATAAAATTTCGGGTCAATCATTTTTGATTGATCCCCGTAGTAATGCATCTCTAATAATGGCAACCAAAAAAGAAAGCAAAATCCCGTAATTCAAACGTTTCGACCTGCCAATGGCACGTTAATTAACGTTTATGGACGTAAAAATTCAACACTTAATTTGGGTTTAAGGAGATCGATCTCCCATTTTCATTTTTTTTTTATATTTGTGATGTGTCGTCTTCAATAATTGGAGCAGATTTTCTATATAATTTTAATTTAGCTCCTGATCTCCGAAATAAAAAATTGATTGGTACTTATACAAATTTAAAAGTGCATGCTAAATTACATAATTGCTCTATTTTTTCTGTGAAATCAGTTACTGAAAATAATATGTATGGAAAACTATTATTAAAATATCCCAATATTACAAAACTTCCTGATCCTAGTATACCAGTTAAACATAATACTGTACATTTTATTAACACAAGAGGTCCTCCAGTTGTAGCTAAACCGAGACGGTTAGTGTCGGATCGTCTTAAAAGTGCCAAGTATGAATTTCAATGCATGACAGAATTAGGTCACATGAGACCATCCAAAAGCCGATATGCTTCCCCTTTGCATATGGTACCCAAAAAAGGCATTGTTCAATGGAGACCTGTCGGAGATTATCGTGCTCTTAATGCACAAACAATAAAAGAAAAATATCCAATCCCTCATATAACTGATTGCACAGCTGAATTACATGGTATAAGGGTGTATAGCCATATTGATCTTGTCAAAGCGTTTCATCAAATTCCAATTAATCCTGCAGATGTACACAAAACTGCTATCTGCACACCATTCGGCTTGTACGAAAGTTTATGAATGCAATACGGTCTAACCAATGCATCGTCAACTTTTCAACGCTTTATTGATGAGGTCATTAGGGACTTACAATTCGTTTATGCATTTATTGATGATTTATTAATTACATCGGATAATGAGACAGAACATTTGTATCATTTAGACTTTTTATTTGCAAAATTAGATGAATACGGACTTTGCATAAATACGCAAAAATGTCAGTATGGTGTATCCACTCTTGAATTCTTAGGATTCAAATTGTCCAGTGCGGGTATCGAACCGCTACCTGATAGAGTAAAATGCATTCTTGATTTTACCCAACCACGAACACTAACCCAATTGCGTCGCTATTTAGGACTATTTAATTTCTATCGCAGATGTATTCCCAAAGCTGCTGATATTCTTGCACCTTTAATTAAATTTTTAGAGGGTCACAAAAATACGAAAAAACATTCTCGTTTCAAAGCTACCGATACGGAGCATTTAAAATGGAATGCCGATGCAAATAAATCATTCATTGCTTCAAAACAAGCTTTGGCTGAAGCAACCCTTCTTAGACACCCTATTCCAGGTGCCCAATTAAGTTTATGGGTAGATGCATCGAGTTTAGCTGTTGGCGGATCCCTCATGCAATTATCAGAAATACTGTGGGAACCTACAGCTTTTTATTCAACAAAATTGAAAAAATCTCAAATTAATTGGTCTACATATGATCGTGAGTTATTGGCTATTAATTCGTCTATAAAGAAATTTAAGCATATGCTTGAAGGCAGAGTGTTTTCCATCTATACAGATCAAAAACCTCGAATATATGCCTTCAAACAGAAAGCCGATAAATGTTCGCCTCGGCAATTGCGTCATCTTGATTTTATTAGCCAATACTCAACAACTCAACCAATATACGTTTTATCAAAGGCGAACGCAATATAGTTGCTGATGCCCTGTCTAGAATTGAGATAAACACAATTTCTTGTGAACCACTAAATCATCAAAAATTAGCGGATGTAAAACTCAAGGATTTAGAATTACAAAATATTCTTTCACAATCAACACCAATTTTAAAGTTAGAAAAGCACTATTTTCCATTTGAAAATATTAATCTTTACTGTAATCTGGACACAGGCATTCCTAGATCATTTATTCCTGAATCATATCGCGATATTACATTTAACCATATACATAACCTTTCTCATCCTGGTATTTCTGTAACAACTAAAATGATTTCAAAAAGATTTGTTTGGCCTAATATGAATAAATTTATAAAAAACTCAGTAAAATCTTGCCAAAATTGGCAACGTGCTAAAATTCACAAACACACTAAATCTCCAATAGGTACTTTTGCCCTTTCAGATGCTCGATTTGCCCATATTCATCTCGATTTTATAGGTCCACTCCCGATTTCTGATAATTTTCAATATTGCATGACCATAACAGATCGTTTCACTAGATGGCCCAAAGTCATACCAACAAGGGATATGACGGCCAAAACAACATGTGAAGCATTAGTTAATGGGTGGATAACTCGGTTTGGCTGTCCATTAACAAGCACAACTGATCAAGGTCGGAATTTTGAGTCAAATTTATTTCGCGAACTTACAGACATGATAGGTGCACATAGGATTCATAGTACAAGCTATCCTCCAATGTCAAATGGCATAATAGAGCGATTCCATAGGCATTTAAAAAGCGCTATCATGGCCCACAATACTCCTAGGTGGACAGAAATATTACCTGTCGTCCTACTGGGCATACGTTCAGCTATTAAAGCTGAAATCAATGCATCGTCAGCTGAACTGGTGTACGGAACTACTCTTCGCTTGCCATCTGACATTTTTAATTGTGCAAATGATTTGTCATCACCGACAGAAAATTATGCTACACAACTTAAACACACAATGAATAGTTTAAGTCCTATTTCACGTCAGTATCATGGCAAACAATTACTTTATATTCATCAGTCCTTACAAACTTGTTCGCATGTTTACTTAATTGATGCTGTAAAACCACCATTCACACCACCATACACCGGACCTCATCTGGTGATAGAAAGGTCGGATAAAACATTTGTAATTGAATTTAATGGGAAAAAGACAACGGTTTCTATAGACAGTCTTAAACCTGCATTCCAAATTTCAAATGTAATTCAATGAAATTCCACACCATTAAGGATTACTCAGTTGTCAAAAATACAAAAACAACAACCTAGTCTCACCAGATCTGGTCGGCATGTACGGTTTCCCAAACATTTAACTGATGAATATGTCATTTAAAAATCTTTCATATTGTACATATATATAATCCTTCAGGAATCTTTAGGAAAACATTTATGCATTTATCTTATCCTTTTATATTTCATTTGTATGTATTTATACATGTATTTTCATTTATCAAAATGTCGCAAAACTTAAAGCATGCTATATATAGCATATTAATTGTATAAATGCAAATTTCTGGTATCGTGACTGAGTCACTGGGGGGATACTTTGTAGTGATTTCCTTGGGAACCCTTCTGGAAAATCTATTTTTAGATCAAACCCCCAAATTGTGTCTCTTCAACCTACCCTGAGAGACCGGGATTAAGAATTTTTATTCATTCCAGAGAGTATCTGTTAAAATTAAGTGTACTACTAAGCATAAAATAAAATATCACACAGCCAAAGAAATACTTGGTTACTATTTAATTAAAAGGACATGAACATATAACAACTGCACACAGCAGAGAGAAGAATGTAAAACAGCACTTAGTTGGTTGATGTTGCCAACTAGAGAAACTAAAACCTTTAAAACGATTAAGATTACTCTTTTTCTTTTGATTTTATCTCAACACTTCCCCTAAATCAAAAAATGAATAAGTTCTCACTGTAAAAAATGAGGAACAAATGAAGTCCTTAAAGTTTAGGTACACAAGTCTAACATTCCCATCAATTTCTTAAGATATTCAAATTTAATCTTAGGCAGAGCCTTAGTAAATAAGTCAGCTGCTTGTGAATCACTACTGCAGTGAGAAACACCTATTTTATTGTTCTCATAAAGTTCTCTTATGAACTTGTATCGCACATCAATATGCTTTGTTCGGTTATGGAGAACATTATTCTTAATTAATTTAATCGCACTTTGGTTATCTACATTAAGTATA